AGAGCGATCACTGGCGCATGCAGGGAGGGGGGGGGGGGGGAGCGGGGGACGGGCGACGGGTTGTGGGCATACGCGCTTCGTCAATATTTGTAGGAGCTTGTGCTACTTGCGTCCAGGCGGATGCCTCATGGAAAATCCAGCAGCGTATCTACCTTCTAGTTATCAGACAGTGAGTGGGCATGTGCTCAGAAGATAGCAGGTACGCATGCGCCATCCGCGCGAGACAGCGATAATCTCGACAAAGCATTGCATGGACTTCTGCGTTACAGAGGGACAGCGAATGCGTCTCTGCTGTATTAATGACACATTTCCCATGTTTTATATTCATACAGGGTGTGATAGCCGGAAGCCAATAGCGGAATACCTGAACCCCACTCTGATTCACCGTGTTTCGTGACGCGTACTGATAGGACAGAGGGGGGGGGGGGGGGCGATGTGACTCCCCTGCCGTTTCCAAACTAAGAAAGATAAAGCCTCGTAAAAATTACTGAACTCACTTCATCGTCTCAACATGATCTCGCAACTGTGCAACGGATTAACTTCGCATTTGCCAGATCAATGATCACCCCACAAGGTCCAGGTCAAAGGCCAATTTTTCGTGTAAACATGAGCTATTTCAGTTCAACATGTCCACTATTACGAAACCATGCCACGTGGCAGCATGCACCTTACACAGACGTGTAATTCACTTAACTCTAAGATAGCGCTACACGGTTTTGTGAGCTTTGGCAACACATTTATGATTTAGGGCTTCGTTCATGTGGTTGTCGTTTCCGCTGCGCCCATCCGCAGTCGTCGTCGCTGCCCGCCGCCCTTGTCGGTCGTACAAATTACAGCGTAGTGTATCTAAAAAAACAAAACAAAAAACGCTACGGATCAGGAATAAAATGCTTGAGAAATGCACCAAAAATGCTAAAGTCACGTTTTATGTGAAAACGAGTGATAAATGCCCGGGTGCTATGTGTCTAAAAAAAACGCTGCTGATCAGAAATGAAATGCCTAAAAATGCGCCAGAAATGCTAACGATGCGTTTCATGTGAAACAGGCGATGAATGGCCGAAGGCTACGGATATTTTGGGCAATATTACACGACATGCCGGAGAGATATCAAAACGCATGAAGTGTGGGGGTGGAGGGAAAGGAGGTCACATCGACCCCCTTCCCTATTGTGGCGAGTGTTAATAAAATTATGCATCTGTATCTATATCCATGGAATTCGGAAAGATAGATGATGCAGGAAAGAGATATGGAGGCTCGTTCGATCACAGGAATTTCGTGTTTGGATAGCATCTAGCGCGGCTGGCTGTCAGGTGTTGACTATCGCATAGTGCGTTAGCTGCGAACTGTGGCAACGGTCCTTGCCAGCTTCGGACTGTGGGCAACGGTCCTTGCCAGCTGCGGACGGTGGGCAACGGATCCTTGCCAGCTGCGGACTTGCGGACTGAGGGCGTTCCTATCAGAATCCGGTCAGCACTGAGGTGTCCCCGATCAGAATCCGGTGAGCACTGAGGCGTCACCGAACAGAATCCGGTCAGCACTGAGGCGTCCCGATCAAAATACGGTCAGCACAGAGGCGTCCCGATCAGAATCCGGTAAGCACTGAGGCGTCCCAATCAGGATCCGCTCAGTGACTGAGGTGTCCCGATTAGCATCCGGTGAGCACTGACAGCTCAAAGATAGCAAGTATGTCTCGCAACTGTTGACTGTTGCGCACAAATACAACGCAGCCATGGACGATTCGGCGGCTCGTCGCTCTGCTGATCGACAGCTCTCTGTCACACGCCACCGGACGGCGCTTTTTTAGCGACCCCGACTGACCCTCACGTCCGTCAGCATGTTGAGGAAAGCTCGACTAAGAACTGAGTGGGGCACATCTCGCGTCCAGACAGGCCTCCCTTGCTCGGAGCGCCCCAGCCGTCAGCCGGAGAACGTTCGTGGTGGGCCAGGCACGGCCTCCAGGCACTTAGCGCGGGTACCTCCGCGTGCAGCTGTCTCGGGGTGCGAGGACATTGGCGGGAGAGTGCTCTGCACGGGCTCAGACGAGGCCTCGGCGTGACCGACCTGTCTCAGGCGGTCAGCATGTAAGCAGCCGAATGCAGACCACGGCCACAGCTGCCGTGGCCTTTGCTCGACGTTCGTCATCAGGAGATGGTGAGAGCGGGGGTGTAGTTTCATACTGAGATGGGGAAAGTGGGGCACCAGCTCCTTCCCCAGCACCATGATCCGACGTCCAGGCCCCCCCCCCCCCCCTCTCGTGTCTTCGTCAGTAGGTCGAGCATTGACAACAGCCTAATATGGCTCCCATTTCCACGGAAAATCTCAAAATATCCGGGAGGTGAATGATACCAAGCTCCAACACCGAGAGATTGTCCTTCCCTCCCCGTGGTGCCCAACCTTCCTGCCAGGGTGGGAGACAGGCGACGCCATATAGCCTCAGCAGCTGAGTGCGTCATAAGGCCCCAGTGACGACGATTATTCTTTCCGATTAGCCAGTCAGTAGAGAGCTGGATTGGCAAACAGACGATCCTGGCTCAAATCCAAGCGATTCCAAGGACATAACTCGAGCTGTGCCGCGCCCATGGCTGAAAGCCAAAGTCACCCAGTCCTTCTCAGGACTCCATAGCACCTGGCGACGACCGTGAGGCTACCTGGCCGAAACATTGTACACTTACGTACTAACGCCTCTCGTGTCCACGATAGTCCGAGCATTTATTTTCTCCACGGTCACAACAAGATACTCCTGACATGAAAGGTCGTAAATCGCCACCTTGTGACCCCATTGTCCAATACACGACCCTTTTTGCAGTGCGTCGGGAGAAGGCGCGAGCGCGGTGCAGCCCGTCCGCGGTCGAGATGAGCTGGGGATCGAATAAAAACGTGGCCGTATTCTGGTTTGCCGCTAGCGCTGCAGGGCCTGCATTTGTCGTGAAAGCACGTGGAGTCGGCGGCCCGTTTGCCCAGGGCTTTGCAGTGCACGCCACTCGCGTCTCGACGCGCACAGCTAATTCGTGACCTCCGAGCCAGGCAGCACTGACAGATTCCATACCTTACACGTACACCTGGCTGGCGCAAGGTCTTGTGGTTAGGCGCTGGACAACATCAAGGCGTCCCCGCCTTTTCCTTTGAGCAGGGAACGAAAAGCTCTTCAATGCGCAGCTTTGTATAAAGCTCCAGCGAATACAGCGTCCATATTAGTGCTCAGGGACTAAGAAACATCCATAATTCAAACCCCGGTCCTATGCGGGGGAAGAAGGCCCCAACCGCTCGGCCACTACGCCCTTCCTATTAGTTTAATGCCAGACCCTCATGAGATCACGAGTACGAGTATACGACCACTTGCACGTACCACCAGCGTAACACACTTAGAGAACGACGTAGCTGAGACCCATTAATTTCCTCGTGACATGGCACGTGGCTTCCGAGTGCAGCTGCGCTCTAAATGCGAGCACACATCGTTTAATGGTCATGCGTGTGGGCTCCTGAAGCCTATTTGGTCCGCCGAGCCCCTGCCCAGCGCGCCTGGTGTTTGCGTGACCCCAATCCGGCGCCGTCTCCGGCCGGTCGTCTCTGTCCTCCCCGGTGTAGGGCGCTCGGGGCGGAACTGCCCGGGGGGCGTGGGTAGGGGGAGGGGAAGAGGAGCCGACCCTGGCGTTAGGTCTCACTTGGTGAACAGGAGCGACCGGCAGCTTCTGCGTCCCGACTGCTGCCCACACAGGTGACTAATTACGTCTGGTTCTCACGTCTGACGGGTAACCAACCACGTCTGGTTCTCACGTTTGACAGGTAACCAACCACGTCTGGTTCTCACGTCTGACAGGTAACCAACCACGTCTGGTTCTCACGTCTCAGGCAGGTAACTAACCACATCTGGTTCTCACGTCTCAAACAGGTAACCAACCACGTCTGGTTCTCACGCCTGGACTGCTGCTCGCAAACAGGTAACCAGGCAACTAAACAAAATGGCCGTGCGGCGTGGCCCTAAACTCTAACCAGGCAACTAGCCACGCCTGGTGCTGACGTCTAGCCTGCTGCCGCAGAGAGCAACTGACCGGGCCTGAACCTCTGTGCCTGACTTTATGGACTGGCAATCAGCGCCTAGGCTTCGTGTCCGGGCCTTCCACAGAGGCAGCCGGCAGGCACACACGCTGTCCCTGCGGCGGGCAGTAATACGAGCCGTCTGCTCCTGCATGATCTCCCATGTCTTGACTTGTGCCATAAACTTACTGGGTTGTAAGTACGCTAAAGAGCTAGTGTACGCTTTTGGGAATATCGCGCATTTTCATTGCTCTCGAAGGGGGTGGAAATTGATATATGATAAGTACATTTTGAGCCACAGCAAGTGCAGAGGAGCAGAAATGTTGACAATATTGCAGCGCTTGTGTTTGAGACTCAGCGCAACGGTACGGCTAAAAGTGTTGTCATGTTGTGATAACTGCGTTGCTGAATCCTAACATTTTTAAACACTCAAAGCATTACTAAATTCTAAAGGATATGCACAAGGCTCGTGGTAGATGCGCGTGGATTGAATGATTGGTGGATGAATTTGGCGCGCCGTAACCGCGCCAAATTTTGCATAGTTGTGGAAAATTGAATAGCGGACCGTTTGGTATTGACAATTCGCATGTACCTTATAAGGTCGCTGACATACGGCAGGTCGAAGTCAGGCCATGGACTTAGCGAAGTTAATTTCTCGGGAATCGTTTAATATGCCGCAACAACGGAGCATTCAATAAAGCCATACATCTTTGAAATGCCTTCTTAGGCAACACGACAAGAGAAGGAACAAATTCCATGGACCGAGGGCCAGTTATAAGGTTAGACCAGGGTCAAAACCAACCCGCTTTATTACTCCAGGGCTTGCGGTAAGGTGTAGCTTCTGGTATTCATTTCGAATTTATTGACAACAAGAACTATGTTATACTTTTCCATGGACTTCTTTAAGGCCAGAAAGGTCAGAAAAGGTCATTGACCTAAAATGAGTCAGGTCAACATTTATTGTCAGTGAACATACTGCCCAGCCTAATCTTTGTCACTTTTCAAGTGCAAAACTCAAAACAGTCTGGTATGAATTTGGTCACCATGGCCTTCGGAGGATCAAACAAGATCACGGATCTTAAAGAGCATTTGATCTTCTGCTTGGAACAGCTATCTAGGTTCTGGGAGCACGTTAGACACCACCCTGAAGTTTGACCTTGTATGACCTGATTTGCCCCAAAGGTCACTACCTAGGAATATAAGAATTTGTAAGTGAGTTCACGTGCAGACCAGCACACTCTGTGAATTTGGTGTCTTTAGCTGTCTTAGTTTCTGAGATCTCAGAGTCATTTAGGGTCATGATCTCAGGTTGATCTCAAACTGACCGTCCACCCGAGTGAAGGGTATCCAAACGGCCACCCGGGCGCGTGTTAATATTGAGCAAGCCGTGCAAGTTTCAATCACGAGAAATGTTTCGCACTACGCTATGCACGAAGTCGGACATGATTGATAGTTATTATGCAAATGAGCCTTATAATCGAAAGTGTACATTATAGGGCACCGTCACCGGATTTTTACACTTTTCCACCACGAAAACCCGCTTGACAAATTTACATCTTCAATACCATTTCTCATTTATCAGGTATCTCAACTTTCGGAATCATTTTTCGAACTTCGAAAATCGAATCCTAAATCTGACATCATCAATACAAAAGTGGAGACTAGCTACACCCCACCGCATTAAGGGCGTGATCGTCGATGGACGGACCCGGACAAAGGTGGAGACTAGCTAGACTAGCCCGAGACTAGCCCGTTTAAATTTAAATATAAAGCGGCCAATGCAATACAGTGATGTGGACTATTACCAAAAGGCTTATGAGATGTTACCGTTCGCTTCTGGGTCTTGTATCAGTCGGTGAGAAGCATACGAACTAAACGACGCTCCGGTGGATTTCCCCGATTGGCTGCCTCACGGCCTCGTGCCACGCACGTGCAGAGGCCAGTGTCACTCATTCATTGTGTGTTTGTATTCATCACCAAAATTAGAGGTTTGTGGCGAAATCAATCGGCCACGACGTCACAATCGTGGGCCTGGATCACACGAAACGTATGTCCATTAAACAATGGCTTGCGTTTGCGTGGAAAATGCGACAGCGCTCCTTTACCATCAACTCTGAGAAAATGATTGGAAAGCTTAAAAAATAGTTGATGTAATTTATTTAAACAGGTAGCCCCCCCCCCCCCCCCGATCCTGCCCAATCACCGTCAGTCAGAGTGCTGCCGAGTTTATTACTACCGTGACGAAATCCATCATGGCAATGCGAAAGCACCACTATATTGCACGGATTCCAAACAAAGCTATAAAGACATAATGACATAAAGACATAAAGACATAAAGATGCCCGACCACCAAAGAGCCCCAAGAACCCCATCAAGGTTGGCCTATCTCAGGTTCCATACACATTCTCAAACCTAATCACCTGACTTACGTAAACTGAGCTATAGATGAGATCTTTAGACCGATAGAACTTATCCAAACGGTTTTTGAATGTTATTAGAGCGGACTTTCTACAACTCCGTTTGTCAGTCCATTCCAATGGTTCACTTCTTTTTGACCACATGATGCTGATGATGACTGAATGACAGTTATTTTGGGAAAATTCTCCAAAATTATTACCTAGTCATCCGAGATGAAGCTTCGAGATACGACGGGAAATTTGAAAAATGTCTTCATTTCAGCCACTCAGGAATGCATAACGGTGACGAGAAATGCAATTTATTTTATGTCAAGTTCTGTTTGGTGCACCGACCAACAAAAGAGGACAGTTTAACGTCTTATGACCAAGAGATACGATGCGTGCAGCCGCCTTCGAAACATCACCAGAAACATCTTTCAAGAGCTTTAAGAACATGCCAGATGACAAATAAGGCCGGAGGCTAGCTGATTGCGGTGTGTGTTTTGGGTGTGTGTTTCCATGGAAACTTGCTTTCAATAACGCGTTACTCGACAGCGCGTGCACGCGTCCCGTTGACTCGCACACTCAGTAAACTGAAGCAGCAGCTTACAAACCGCTTCTGTGCTTCGTCGCATGGCCCAGGGGCCTCCGATTACGTTAAAATGCCCGCGCCACTCGTCGCTGCAATGCAGAAGCAGGTGATCTCCATGGCCTTGCCCGCGTCATTGCGTTCCATTCACACATTGCGGTGATAGTGCGTTTCACCAATCTACAAAATATGCACCACTTTTTCATATGCCTTCCCTGTGGATTCATCACACATTATTAACGATATCAAACCCCATTATGTAACCAACTGCTGGCCCCCGCTGCGTTGACAGCCCCACTTACAAACGGCTGTCTGCTTTGGATGAAATGACCTTGCTATGGTCAGTGGAAAATAGTTTTAAAAGATTTCGAGACATAGGCAATATTCATCACCGTCATAGCTCCGAACAGCGTCGTTTACAATGACCGATTACTGGTCCAGAGGTCTTGCTGGCCTTACCGGTCGCTTCCAATGAGCACTTACCGGTCTAGAGATAAACCAACCGTATTCACGTACGCTTTTGTCCCATGTGCTTTACGATCCCAGCGCAGCACTCACATGGAGAGCAAATGGAGTGAGGAGGAGTCGAACCAGTGGAGCCATGCCGGGCGGAAGAGGACTGGGAGGTTCGAGGGTCCCACCCAGCGGAAGCGTTGCTCCATGCCACCCTGACCGGATGTGATCGTATCCGCGCCGCGCGAGTGACAAGCGAGTCACCAATTTGTAGTGACGGCTTTCGACGCATATTTCAATGAAAATATCGAAAATAGGGGTCCGTAATTCTTGGAAGGCGTCTTGAGTTTTGTAATTTTAATTTTTGTGGTGAAAAGGTATACCAATCCAGTATTGGTGCCATCTTTCTCATACCCTTGCTACCTCACCACTAAGAGCATGACATTAACTACTCAAATTACAATTTTTCCGGTAACGAAGTATGCCCTTGTTGCTGGAGTTATGTCGTTTCTACAGGGCGCATTTTCATCGCTATGCCACTTCCTGAAATCACCAGCGAACGGACAACGCAGAGTTGTCCGTTGATGGCCGCAGAGTTCTAAAAGCTTAAAAGTGATGATCAGAGCACGAGATAATCTCACTTTGAAAATTTGGTCTAGATTGGAGATGGTAGCATGCAGTCGTCTGGTTCAGATAGCGAGAATGACCCTGCGAAAACCCTGCCTGGTGATCGACTGCGACAGCCGGGACCACCGTGCGTTGATCCCCGCCGGACAAACTTTTTTTTCCCACCATCACCGAAAAACAGAGCCTTACAGGTTTCTGTTGTAAGCAAAACGTCCTTGAAACGAGCGGAGAATGGTACTGAAAACTGCATGAAATGGCTAGTTAAATGACCTAGCGTTTCCAATCACATCTGGAAGCGTCGATGCTCCCGGAAACATTTTGACATTTCAAACATTTTTACATGCTTGATCGGGCTTGACCTTGGACACCTAATCTTATAGCATTTTACAGGGTTACATCATCATGAGGTAAAATAACACGCGGGGAATGGATATGGAAGAGCCTCTGAGGATGAACTCTGCTACAGACTTTATCTGGTGGCTGAGCGTAAATGGCTGTAATGCTCGTGTTGTTACGTTACGAACTGGTTACGTGAAGTTTCTCTATTACCCTTAAAACATTCGAGGCAATAAAACAAAAAAGGAACAAAGCAATGCAAAGCTGGCTGATTATATACAATCCGATGAACGGACGTAGTGATCAGACACTGTCACGTGGTGTTCAGAAAAAGCAAACCAAACCATGGAGACAAAACTTTTTTCACGTGCTAACGCAACCACTTTAAGGGCGCCTCCCAATTGGGAAGTCATCACGACGGGAGGAAATGTCGTCGGGAGTGAATGATGACATACTCTCTGAGGCTCCTCGTCGGGGGTGAATGATGACATACTCCCAGAGGCTCCTCGTCGGAGTGTGAATGATGATATACTCTCTGAGGCATCCCGTCGGGGGTGAATGATGACATACTATCTGAGGCCCCTCGTCTGGGGTGAATGATGACATACTCTCTGATGCTCCTCGTCGAGGGTGAATGATGACATACTCTCTGAGGCTCCTCGTCGGGGGTGAATGATGACATACTCTCTGAGGCTCCTCGTCGGGGGTGAATGATGACATACTCTCTGAGGCTCCTCGTCGGGGGTGAATGATGACATACTCTCTGAGGCTCCTCGTCGAGGGTGAATGATGACATACTCTCTGAGGCCCCTCGTGGGAGTAAGTGCTGACATACTCCCTGCGCGCGGACATGCTTGCAGACCGTGCGACCAGGCCGACATGGGCGTGCTGCTGGTGTTCTGTTTGGCCTGGCTGGCCTGTTCGGAAGCTTCCGGTGGAGCGGCGGCGGCCGGGACCGAGTCGCAGGGCAGGTCGCTGGCTACGGCGCTCCTACCAAGCCTTATCGACGCTGGTGAGCCGGGAACTGAACCTTACCGTTCAGGAGCGGAGGTGGCTCCGGGGAGTTGGGATGGGGGAAAACGGGCCTTATCCAATTTCTGTCCATGCAACGTCGGAGGGTGGATGTTATATTTTACCCGAGGGAGGGATGAGATGGAGGGAAGGCTGAACCTCTGCCTCCGAAATCAGCCACATTTGCACAATGCACTGTACCCATGTCTGCTGTTTTTGTGCTTTTTTATGCACCGCGAACCCTGGCACTAACAGTGCATTACTAACACGACTCCATCAGCCCAGATCACGCTGGAGCGGACACGGGAGCTCCGTCCAGGTATATGGACCCGAGGCCGGGTTGTGCGAGTGGGCGCAAGTACAGTCAACTGCTACGCCACACTAAAGCACCTTGTCTGCCGCTAATGCAGGCTTTCTCGCCCGCGACCCCTGACAATGGATAGCGTCAGCGCAGACTGACAGCGCTCGGGTGAAGGCTGATCAAGATTGCGCATTTTGCGGTGGAGCCTTTTATGTTTCGTGCGATAGGCGAGCGCCACCAAGCTTGTTGTTGGATGAGGATGGCGCGGTCGGTGCTGGGTCCGCTCACAAGGACGGGATCTGTTGGCATCAGCCGTGATTCTTCAACGTCACTCTCAGTTCAAATGTAAATGCTTAGCTTATTGTTTTCAGCGGCGCGATCTCCCCCCCCCCCCCCGCCTCTCGTTGTCTCCCGACCTCCCTCGTGACCCTCGGTCGTCTGTCGACCCATGCGTGATTTACCGCTGTTTCCGACTCCCTCGCGACCCTTCGATCCATCCGTCCACCCATGCGTGATTTCCCGCTGTTTCCGACTCCCTCACGACACTCCGATACGTCCGTCGACTCATGCGTGATTTCCCGCTGTTTCCGACTCCCTCGTGACCCTTCGATCCATCCGTCCACCCATGCGTGATTTCCCGCTGTTTCCGATTCCCTCGTGACACTTCGATCCATCCGTCCACCCATGTGTGATTTCCCACTGTCTCCGACCCCCTTGTGACCCTTCGATCCGTCTGTCGACCCATGCGTGATTTACCGCTGTTTCCGACTCCCTCGTGACCCTTCGATCCATCCGTCGACCCATGCGTGATTCCCCGCTGCCTGTGCCAACCGAGCTGCTGCGTGACCGTCGGGTCTGGTTCCAGCCGTGACTCGCGCTCCAGCCTGCCGCGACCCCGTCGGGACCACGGGCTACTGCCTGAGCCGGGCTGGCTGCCGGGCCCAGAGGGGCACGGCCGGCGCCCCCTGCCGCAAGTCGGGCTCGACGCGGGGTCTCTGCTGTCTAGGTCAGCGGCTCGCGCGCTGCCGCCGGGTCGATGGCGCCGCCTTCGCTGCCAGGCTGGTTGTTGTTTGCAGCCCTGGCAACGTTCGTGTGGGTTGAGGCGGGAACACGCGGCAGCGCGCAAAAACAGCATGTATTGCGATATTCTGGGCATGGCTGGTGCTGGATATCATTGTCGCTGTCAGCGGCGGGCGTCTGGGGTCAGCGGCGGACGTCTGGGGTCAGCGGTGGACGTCTGGGGTCGACGGCGGGCGTCTGGGGTCAGTGGCGGACGTCTGGGGTCGACGGCGGACGTCTGGGGTCAGCGGTGGACGTCTGGGGTCAGCGGCGGACGTCTGGGGTCAGGATGATGCAGGCGGTGACTGGCATAACAACTCAGCGGCCCACGCCGCCTCACGCATGACACCACGCGCCAGGGTCTTTCTGGTGGTTGTTTTGATAGAATGTGACCTGAAACGAAGAGATCATTACATATGATCAGCACCACACAGGCTCACCCCGTCGATGGTCCAGTGTCCTTCCGAAATTTTCGGAAATAATGCTCGGCACTCATCTCGGGTCGAAAAGTGGTGTCATATCATGCCTGCTGCGCCTGAGAAGAGCCAGCCGCACGCGAGCACCGTGCCCAGCGCGCTGACCGCTCTGGCTCGTCATTCCAGTGGACAGATGCCCGGTGGAGCCCCCAGTGGCGCCGTTCGGCACCGTGCGGGACCTCGTCACCAGGTGAGTCGCCTGACTAACAATCCTTACATCCTGGAATGGGCTTGGCCGGCAATTACAGGTCGCTGCCAAAAAAGTGAAGCGACCGAAACACTGAAGTTTTGGCTGCTTTCCGCTTCAGGCACTTCTGCAACTTATTATACAATTCTACACGTCAGGCTCATATGGTCCAAAGTCGAACGGCACCTTGTGGCAGCATGTATGCCGCAGTCCGTGGTCGGTATTTTGCTTGCTTCACATGTTCTAAACCCGGCGCATCAGTGGCAGGATTACGGGAGTCCGGAGAAGGCCTGATCTGAGGCAAAGTAGCAGTCAATTATGCATGGACAAGCCCCTGAGCCAGCTTAACCCCGGCCCCACCCGGGTATTAGGACCAGCCTGGCCCAAGCCCTACCCGAGTACAAGAGCCAGCTTAACCCCGGCCTCACCCGGGCATTAGAGCCAGCTTGACCCAAGCCCTACCCGAGTACAAGAGCCAGCTTAACCCCGGCCTTACCCGGGCATTAGAGCCAGCTTGCCCAAGCCCTACCCGAGTACAAGAGCCAGCTTAACCCCGGCCTTACCCGGGTATTAGAGCCAGCTTGGCCCAAGCCCTACCCGAGTACAAGAGCCAGCTTAACCCCGGCCCCACCCGGGTATTCGAACCAGCCTGGCCCAAGCCCTACCCGAGTACAGGAGCCAGCTTAACCCCGGCCCCACCCGTTGGCTGCAACGCGAGCGCAAATGGGCGTGTTGGGTGTCAATATCGTGATTTTGTGCGGTTGAGTTAACCGACGCCCGGCTCTGCCCTGTCCCGCATTTGGCCCGGCGCGGCCGGAGCAGGTCTCTGATTGGTTTGAAACCCAACCGCCACGCGAATACGTGGAGCGTGGTGATTGGTTGGGCCGGCTGAGGTCAACGCGGCGTAACCTGTGCCGAGGTCGGCCCGCGCGAGGGCCGGGGGCGAGAGTGTGTGAGGTGATGATACGGGTATGTGGTTTTTGGGTAATAGTGACATATGAGCTTCGAACATTTACGAACACAGCTTGTAATATGAGTTGGGACTAGCGAAATACGGATGACCCGTTGGAGAATCGGTGTGGTCTTTTTATCTTGATTATATCGCCAGCAAAGATCTAACTTTACGTATTGCGAAGCAAGAAAAGAATGTTTGATAGATGACAGCATTTCATAGATTTAAAGTTCACCATAGGCGTGAGGTCATTCTTAGATATGATGGTTTTCACCTAAGCCATGTTTTTTATGTTTTAGTCGATTACTTATGCATCTGGCTTCAAACAACACTAGAAATGATTACCAACCGGCAATTACGAGACTGGCTAGGACCCGAAACATTTTACAAACACCGTATTTATGTTTTTGGTGTATTGGACCGACGCGGTCAAGAAACATGAAGTGATTTCCAGAAGATCGCGATCAATTTTCGGTTTGATAGCGAGCGGCGGTTGCCACAACCGTAGTAGTAAAACTGCAAGTGAAAAATGACGTGGGTCGATGGCACGGCATTGGTCACAGAAACATCGATGAGCTAGGTCTTGCTTCCAATTTGCTGTTTCTCACTGCTTAAGGCACGCAAATACTGCGGTTGCAGCGCCATACTCTGAGCCGTTATGTGGCATGGCAAGGCCTAGCTTTGCTTACCGTTTGCCAGAGACGGATGCACGAACTCCCACCGCTGTCGTCGTCATCAACTCGTTTCCCCCACTCGCAACGCCCGTGGGCGAAACCCACTTGTGCGGCGCTGGCATCGGACAAGAGTCCGACCTTGAGGTGTCCCAACTTTGAACAGCGTTAGATGAATGATTTATTTCATGGATGATACGCAGCTCTAAATAAAAACTCAACTGTTTTTCACGCTCGCACCGCGATTTAGCACTGACGGGGGTTTCACATCGCTCAGTGGTAACCCCTCGCGCTGAGCGTTTGGCTTCATTTTGACGGCGTAGCTGTTCTTCCTCCGTTAGACAGCGGCGTCTCAGCGGATCGCCGCTCCTGTTCGTGGGGAGTCAATAATGGTGTTAGACTACACCTCATAACTACAGTCTGTAGCACAAACAGGGATGATGTGTATGGCTACAACTTTATAACCATATAAGGGCAATCCGCAGCGTAGACGGGGACGGCGTTTATAGCCGCGACTGTACAACCATGTAACGACACTCTGCAGCACAGGCAGGGATGGCGCTTATAACCGCGACTGTACAGCCATGTAACGACACTCTGCAGCACAGGCAGGGATGGCGTCTATAGCCGCGACTGTACAACCATGTAACGACACTCTGCAGCACGGCAGGGATGGCGCTTATAACCGCGACTGTACAGCCATGTAACGACACTCTGCAGCACAGGCAGGGATGGCGTCTATAGCCGCAACTGTACAACCATATAACGACACTCTGCAGCACAGGCAGGGGTGGCGTTTATAACCGCGACTGTACAACCATGTAACGACACTGTGTAGCACAGGCAGGGATGGCGTTTATAACTGCAACTGTATAACTACATAACGGCACTCTGTAGCACAGACAGTGATGGCGTGTATAACCGCAACTGTATTACGACATAGCGGCACTCTGTAGCATAGACAGGAATGGCGTTCATAACCGCAACTGCATAGCCATATAACAACGCTCTGTATCACAGACAGGTTAAATATGCACAGGTTAGCGTGCATCGTTTCACTTTTGACAACAGCAAAACTCCCGAATGGAAGCGCCGTCGTGCTGCCGTGGGCGAATGCACGTTGCACGTGTTTTAGTCCCGTGTCCCGTAACCGTTATTCGCTGTGTTGCAGGCAGCGGAAGCCGAGTGGGGACGGAGGTGACCTATGTCTGCCTGCCCGGCTACAGTTTCGGCAATGGCCTTGACGCCGTGACCTCCACCTGTGACCCTCGCGGAAACTGGTCCCCGCAGGAGATCCCGGACTGCCTTCCGCTCCCAGGTAACGGGCCACGCCCCAGGGCAGGTGAGGTCAGCTCAGTGAACTGCTAATGTCACATCGCGGGTAAAGCTCGTTTGTTTTACGGTTGCAAGCCTTCGCGAGCTGAGGGCTCAATAACTAAAGCAGTCCAGTTTTTAAGGCAAGAAATGTAAGATAAATTAGTCCTGTAGCCCGGTGAATGCTCGCCGAAGAAGCATGATAACATGAAATCTTCTGAAGGCCAAAATAAGCCGGTAACAGCCCTGGCCAAATAAAATAATTTCTCAAATCGGGCGATATTCCACCGCGGGAAAATCAGTGCTGCATATCGGATGCATCTCGTAAACTGATAAACATCCGAAAAGCTAGTAAAAACCCCTTAAAATAGACTCAGTGTCGATCCGCCGTTGGAAGCTGAACAGAGCTGAAAAACTCCATGCTTTAGATATGTAAAGCCAGACCTGCAGCGCAGGTGGCTGATCGCTAAATGACTGATTGAATCAAACTTTCACCCCCGATGCCATTTCGATGCAGATGAAGTCAGTCCTAGAAACTGTCAACGTCATATGGCAGGTTATGTCACGAGCCAAGAAGCCTGTTAAATGGAATAAAATATCTTTATTATATATCTTTATTATATTATATTACCCCATCTATAAAATATTGAAGCAAGCATCAGATATGATGAAACAAGCTCACTTATGATTATTGGTGTACTTCGAAGTAGAACATGCTGCTCTGGACAGCATAATTTCCCTGTTTTGTAAATACGCTATTCGTTACGTCATTGTTTGATGACGTCATCTTGCTGTGCAAACACGGTTTGAGCGCCAATTGACATTCGTTACATCTGAAAATCGTGCTCACGAACGCCGGCTATGAACAACTCGACCATTATATTTTTGTTGACCTTGATCGCTGCATGGCTTATGGAATGGCGGAATTTGAATGATGTTATTATGACGCCATGAATGCCAGTGATGATCTTGAAATACTCCCCTATACTTACACTCCCACATCTTTGTGGCCTCTAAGTTCAGGAAGCATTGGATTTATGTTTAAAAAGGACATGGCTGTGAGCTGCATCAAAAGGTCTTCAATATGGCCATTTCAGTTCAAAACCCCATACCAATGTCGGAAAGCTCCTATAAGGCACACGACGAATAGAGTACTCCCATTGAACAACAACAGCCGGCTGCATTTGAGCCGGTGCCATAAGCTGACAAACATTGTGCGGCACACCATGTTGTTAATGGCCTGCGTTAGAAGCCGACGAGCCACTGGGACAGGAGTTAATCAAATCAGTGTCGACTTAGGCATCACGGCCGCCCCTGCCAAAAGAAGACACCGCTATCACTGCTTCCGGCCCGCGGTCTCCCTTGGAATTTGGCTCTTGCCTGGTACCTCGCTCGCGGATCGCAGACACCATCGAGGGACTCGCGGGCGAGCACTCGGGCCCGCCGAGGAGGAGCACTTTAGTGCGCCGGCCTGGATGAGTTGTGTGATAGTGCACTTGTCCTTCAGCGGAGAGCCAGCTGAGGTCCTGGGGAAGACTCTTCAAATATCTGTAAAATGTCCGGAAAGGTGGGCGTTCCAACGCATAGACGAAAGCCGCTAGTGCAGATCGTCAAAATTGTCCAGTTTGTTAGTTCGTACTGGGAATAAACATGCTCCGTTCTTGGCGCTACTTAACAACTGGCAGCTCACACACTGGTTGCCTTGGTTGTCACACACCGCACTTGGCGACTTACTGGTCTTTTTACTGAAAGATTCCTATTCTGTTAGTTTTGCTGCGCGAAATTTTTTTAAAAACACTTTCCAGCCTGAGTAATTTTTGTTCTGGCTAGTGCGATGATAGCCGCTTATGTCATGTTATTTCTAATTGATACGAACTGTACTACCTTAATGGTAGGGTTCAATGTCAATGATCAATTCGCTACTTCTGTGACCCATCCCGGATGTCAGCATTTTTCCATTTCGAGTTAGGTGGAAAATCCAACAAACATCTGTCTGCGGCCTGAGCACTAATCTCTTCATGTTTGATGCCTCTGTGGGTTTTCATTTTCACCTAAGAAATAGATGTAACAAGCTCCTTCTTCGAGCAGTATTGCAACAACATGAGTAATCCATACCATCGCTAGAACATTTTTGAAAACCTTTTGTTTTTCTAGTCTGACGTTTTGTCGATCCTGGATCCATATTGCATTATGCCGTACTATGCACGTGAACAAAACGATCATTGCATCGTGCCTACATGGGAAATCAGCTTGTCGTTGTCACGAGCTGCGTTTTAATCAAACCAAATATCCAGCTGTACTCCAGTAGAAAAGAACCCATGTTTCTTTCAAGTTGGTTAACGAACCGGGCGTGACCTTGCTCCTGTTCCATGTAAACAAGCGGGCCCGTGCTCGGTCGGGACTCCATGTCCACGGGCCTAGACCGGGCCGAGTTGATCCTGCTGAGCGTGTGAAGGATTCTGCTGCATGGGCGGCACTTCCCCATCGGCGAACGGCGCGATGTTCGGAGGTCA